CTGAGAACCGAATTGGACACGAGGGCTTTGCAGAATCATAAATAAGTAACAAGGCGATTTCTACTGAAGGGAAAAGTTTCTGCAGAAGGACTCGGTGTGCTTTAAGGATCATTTTGCCCCAAATGTCACCCAGCTCCACCAGCATTTGCTACGGGCACAGTGTTAAGGGTGCAGCCTTCCCGTGCAGAGCTCGTGAGCAGGGTCATCCTGCCAAGTCCCCAGCGTCACCGGTGCCACCAGCTCTCTTTTCTCTCACCTCACAAGGAAAACGAGGCTCTGACTCCACTGACTCCATCCAAATAATACGGTGCTGCTTGCACCAAAGCCACCTGTGGCATGCGAAGCCTTTAATGGTGGCGCATTAGGATTTGCACAGTGCTTGGGGGTGATGGGGACTGGTCCTGCTCCGTTTCCCCAAGTCCTGACACACCCAAGCCCGTTTCGGGGTGCAGAAGATCAGTGCAGAGGTCTTGGTGGCTGATCTGCCTCCTGCAAAGTCGCTGTCAGAGGTAGGAGAGGGGGAGCACAGCCCCAGGGGAATGCTGTGCCCTCGGGGTGTTAATGCTGGCTGCTTCCCCGCAGCCCGTCCTGCCACGCAGAGAGGGGTCGGCAAGCCAGGCGCCAGCAGAATGGCATGAAATCTGTGCCAGAAAGAGGGAAAAGTGTGGAATAAGGAAAAGTTTGGGGTGTTTGGTTTCACCGCAGCAGATGGGAAAGTAAATTAATATGAGGAATTTGGGAATTTACACGGGAACCTTGACTGGACCCGCCATCCATCTGGGCTGCCCTTCATCCATCCCTCCGTTCGCGGAGCTCCCGTGAACACCCGTTCATCCGCTGAGCTTCCTCTTCCTGCCCGCAGTAATTGTTGGCACAGGGCGTTGCGCAGAGGAAACCAGCTGCAGAGCACCATGTCAATTCGTGTCGGTGCTAATTCCCCAGGAATGATGCTCCGGGGTCTCGCGGGCCTTCTAGGCGCCCTTTTTTATCCGTGAACTGCTTGCAGAGAGCAGGGCAGAGCTTACGTGGGGCTCGCTCAGAGGGGAGCATCGCACCCGGGCTGCTCCCCGATAAAACAGGACATGGAGAAGCAGGGAGAGGAGGGGTGAGGCCAGCAAGAGGAGCAAGCAGAGCAGAGAGGGAAGCAGAGAGATCGGGGCCAGCACCTTTCCCTACGCCTCCCTCTCTCCCCTGCAGCACGGTGAGCCCTGAGCACACCAGAGGCTCAGGCAGTCACTTCCAGGCAGGAAAAAAGCTGCGTTTCCAGGAACCTTGTAGGGAAAAGAAATGGCTTAATGCTTAACTGCCCTGCCCGCCGTGTCGACACCTTCCTCCCCCCGACCTGGCGTGTTGTAGCGAGCAGCAGGGTACCCCAGGGAGCTCTGCTCCAGCTGCACGCTCATCAGCCAGACGGGGAGCGCGCAGCGGTGCCTCTCCGCGAACGCTCGCCGTGTTTAATCACACATCTGTGGGTTCAGGCAGGCTTCGCCAGCGCGGGAAGGGACGCGCCAGGTAGCAGCAGGTGACAGAAGTTGCTGATTCTGGTTAAACCATGAAAAACGGAGGAGGCGGAAGGGAAAGGAGGCGGCGGTGTGGGAAGAGGGGAGCTGTGGGCGTCGTGGCGTGGAAATTTCGGGTAGCAAAGCACCTTTGTGTGCACCCACATGTGTGAGTGTGCACGTGGAGATGTGCAGACCTGCACGCTGCTTTGATTGCTGCAGGGTGTGCAGGGGGTGCTGCACCCTCTGTGCTCACAGCACCCGGTACACCGTGGGTCTGGGGTGTCCCCGTACGCAGGTCTGAGGTCCTTGTGGGTTCCCGTGCAGCAGAGCCCCACGCACAAGCTTTGAAGGAGGAAATCTTGAGTTTCGTGGAGGTGTTTGCTGAAGTCCGTGTCTGCAGGGTGCTGGTTTTTTGTTTGTGTGCAGCAGAGATGAGCAGGGATGCCGTGTGTTAAGCACTGGGGGAAGTCAGGGCTGGGAAATGAGTTTTTTTTGGAGCTTGGCCTCCTGCTTGCAGCACTACTTGCGTGCCCGTCTGCCCCAGGCAGGCAGCGAGGGTGTCCCACACCCACACCTCACGCAGGCTGCTGCGTGGGGTTCATCTTGGGCTGTTGCAGAGCCTGAATGGCAAAAAGGTGGCACAAGGTCCCCGCTCGTCCTCCTTCCATCCCAGCCTGCCGACACGGGGGTGTCCTGGCTGGCAGCCCCGCCGTGCCGGCAGGCGGAGGGGACAGGTGGGGTCGGAGGCAGGCTCTGCTCCGCGGCATGGCACAGCTCGGAGCCACATTTGCCTCCCTCAGCGGGAGGGAGGCGGGTGAGGTAACGGCTGCTCTTTCGGGAGCCTGAGCATCCATCTGGTGCAGCGAGGGCACAGGGGGTTGGCACCCAGGAGCTGGCTCTGCCACCACGTGTCCTTGGAAGGGCCAGGGCTGAGCTCTGCCCGGGGAGGGAAGCTCGTCCTTCCCGCTGACCTTGGGGCCGAGCCGTCCCTGCAGAGCACTCAGCATCCCCAAACACGCAGCGTCCCCAAGTCCCCCTGCACTGCTGCGGCTCCCCACGCAGCACGGGGACGGTCCTGCCTCTGGGGGATGCTGCTCTGGTCCCTGCTCCTTGTGCCGTTCCTTGCACCAGTGCAAAATGTGGCAGAATCACCTTGGAAGATCATTTTGTGCTCCCAGGATGTGTTTCCAAATTGGAACTTTCTTTCTGCTCTTTCCCACTTTTTCAGAGACCTGCCCTCACTTTTCTTTTGCAACACTCTTTTTTATTTTTCTCTTCTGTGGTGTAATAACTGCACCTCTGTTTCCACCAAACCTGAATTTTAATTATCCTCCCCAGCGGACCCCAAAAATGGGAGATGGAGGCACCCCTTGGACGCAGGCACAGCTCTGCAGAATGGGAGCCTGCTGCAAGGTGTGTCCTTGGGAGGAGGTGGCGGGGACGCGGGGCTGCTGGTATCACCTCCGCCTTAGTGCTGACAGATGCACGGTTAATGGTCTGTCTGCTTAATGCGTGTCACTTTGGGATCTAAAAACCCAAACTGGTGAACAGCAGTCCCCTTGCGACTGCGGCGCAGTAACCAGACGGGAGCCCCAGGCCTGGCAGAGGGAAAGGTTTGGGCTTGGAGGTTTTAGAGCTCCTCGGGCACCGTCCGTTTCTGCAGGTGGGTGTTTGCCACGAGGATTTATCTCCGTCCCCACTATCACTACCTGCTGCTGCTGCTCAGGACCCCCCCCCAGGTGCAGCTGCAGAAGCCTGGGTTTGGGGCAGGAGGGTCCGAAGCCACAAGAAGTCCTTGGGGGCTGAGGGGAATTTCGGATGATGGACAGGACGTGCAGCATCCGCAGGTTGTCCCGCAGATCCCTGCCTCTCTGAAAACACCCAGAGGCATCACCAAACGCCAGCCCCATCGTGCCTGCAAGCAGCACGGCGACGTGAGCATCGCTCCCCCTCGCTCCTCTGCTCCTGGCATCGCCGTGCACCCCCAGAACTGGGATGGCGGCTCGGTTTCCCCCAGCACCACCAGTAAGCAGAGCTGGGGGGCCGATGGATGCTCGCCCCCCGGGGCACTCACAGGCATCGCCCCCGCTGCTGCCCGCGCTCAGCTGCCCCGGCTGCTCCCAGCTTCTCCCTACTGAAGAATTATGTAGCATGAAGAAGCAGGCTCCACCATCTTGAACTGGCAGTGAACTTTGCTTTCTACATATAAATACAGATAGCAATCACACCCCAATCAGCACACAAGCTTCAGGGCATCATCACGGCAACTCTAACTTTCCCATTACGATAATGTGATTTTCACTCAGTCTATAATATCACCAGCCATGAATAAAACAACTGGCTTTTTCTCTCTCTCCCTTCCCTCTCTTCCCCCCTCCCTGCCTCTCTCCTTCTCTCTCCCCCTCTCGCAGATCACGGTCTTTGCATACTAATGATGGCTGAGCACGGCTTCCAGGGTGCGATCTCTGACGGAGGGGGGAGACGAGGCTCTGGGTGGATCCTCGGTCCCCGCACACATGCTTTCATCCCTCTTTTATCATCCTGGAGATCTGAGGCCCAGCCGGACAGACAGACAGACAGTCCGTGGCTTCCCCACCTGCATCGCGCATGGAGTGGGGCAGGGACATGCTGCGGCTCACGTGGCTGGGTAAAGGAGGGGTCCTTGTTACCCAAATTCCTCAGCCCCCTTCTGGAGCCTCCCCTGTCTCTACTCCAAGGCTCTGGAGCACGGGAAATGTGCCAAGCTGGGACAAATCCTACCCCTGGCACCCTGGCAGCTCCCTGTGTGCTCACCCCACTCTTCTGGCCCCAAGGATGCGCAGAGGCCAGGGCAGGGAATCAATCCAGTTTTAAACAACCCTATCAGAAAAATAATAATAATTCCCAGTGGGATTGGGTCCCTGATTCGAGCCACTGCACTCAGTGGGGCTGTCCCAGTGCTTCGCAGGGATTTTCCCTCTGAAAAGCAGCCGCAGTGTGCCCCGTGCTGCATGCCCTGCTCTGCCTCCAGCCCCAGCAAACGCCCCGTGCCTGCCGTGCAAGCCCCTGGCCCCAGCTGGCATGGGGATGGAGCACAGGGGAGCACTCCCATACACAGGAATGCAAATGATGATGTATTGGTTTGATTTTTTTCCACTTATTCTTCCTCTGGTAACTGCAAAGCCAACAGAAAACCAGGAGTGTGCATGTTTGTGCTTTCCAGAACACGCTGATCCAACGTGCAGAGCCACACTGGGTACCCACATCCATCCCCAGTTGGTCTCTGCCACCAAAGTTTTCAGTAAAAGTCTTTTTTTGGGGACACCGATGGCTTGGAGCACTGCGAGATCATCCAGCCCTGGCCTCCCCACCCAGTGCTCTGGGTCGGGTTGTTATCTCAGGGTGAGTAATTAATTCTCCTAAACACCAGCAGCTGGCCCTGGGTGGGAGCTGTGCTGGGGAGAGCTGCGGTTGGGTTACAAGATGCGAGAACACCTGTCCTTGCCTCACCTTTTCTCCCTAAAATCTATAAAAGGGGAGAGGGGAAGGCAGGTGCCTGGGTCCCTGCCCAGGGAAGATGCTGTGGGTGAGACTGCTTCTCCTTTTTGCAAGGTAAAGGGGCATGTTGAGCAATAATTATTGCCAAAATCTTCATTTTCCTGTCCTGTATTCCTTGCTGTGCCAGGGCAGGATGGCATGGAGCTGCTGGGGGCTTGCAGGATTGTGGAGGCAGCCCCACAGCAAGGGCTCTCTGCTCTGGGGTTTGGTGGAGGAGCAGTGACAGTGCACTGGTGACACGGGTGCAGCAGGTCCTACCCCAAAACCCCATGGAGGCAGTGGGGAGGTCGGGGCTCTCCCCTTCCCAGCAGTTCCCTGGTTGTCTTCTGTGCTTTGCTGTGCCCATGGGAGTGGAGCTGGTGATGTGGTTTGCTGCAGTGGGGCTGCTTCCCTGCTGAAGGGCACTGCAGGGTGAGAATCAAGATATTAGTGTCCTCCAAATGGTCCCAAAGCAGAAATGAACAGGAATCAGGACCAGAAATGGGGCAGAGTGCTGCCTGGGCTAAGCCTGGTGCATCACCAGAGCTTTGTAGGCAGTGACTGTGGGTGTTGTGATGTGGAAATGGAGTTGTATTGCTCACCTGCAAGTTTTGAGTGCCTGCAGGGGAGAAAAAAGTCAGGAAAGCAGCGGATGGAGTGGCAGCATCCTCACTTGGGCTGCAGGGGTGGCAGGTTGCACGGGGCAGGTGCTGCTGCTGTGCTGCGGGTGACCTGGCAGGATGCGTGCACCCAAACCTAACCCCGAGCAGGCAACCAGGTGGGACTGTGCCCAATTTGCTGCTCCTCGCTGCTTTGCTGGAGAGCTGGAAGGGGAGCTGGGAAGCTCTGTGCTTCATCTCCAGGACGGGAGGATTTGGGAAGCTGTGTGTTACGAAGTCGTGCAGCAAAACCTGATGTTGAGCTCTTCTGGGTCAGCTATACCGAGGGGTGGCATCACTCAAAATGTGGCTGGGACAAGCTGCCTGCAAGCAATTGTGGCTTGTAAGTGTCCGTATATAAACCCAGCTTGTTCCCCTGCTAGTGGCAGCCTAAAAAATCATGCTGGGGGGAGCCACTCATCCTTTCCCACCCCTACCAGTGCTCTGCTGCTGGGATCTGGGGTGCTCTGGGGGGCTCTGGAGCCAGCCAGGGCTCAGTCCTCAGCATCACAGAGGCTGGAAATGGTTCCCTCGCCTTCCCTGCCATAAAAAGAGGGGCAGAGGTGCTCCAAAAACTGGCAGGCACCTCTGCCCACTGATCCCTCCACGGCACTTGCCTTGCACAGCGGGGGACGTGTCCCCTGGTGGGTGACAGAGCTGCCTGAAATGGATGGGGCTGTAACGGAGGTACCTGCCGGCAGGGCTACCTGGGAGATGCTCTTATCTGTCATCTGATTTATCCAGGTTAAAAGGCTGCAATCAGTCACCAAGGTAGATTCATTCCCCAGTAAATAGTGCCCGAGGGCTTCCAGGACCTATTTTACTGCTAAGCACTCTCTTTCCAATGCTTGAATACCTTTGTTCCCAGTGGAGCCGTTGCTGGCTGATATATATATGATATGGGGAGTCCCGGTGACTTTTTTATTTTTGCTCTGCACAGCTCCTGGCCTCGTCTCGACTGTGTCGGGCTGCAGGATGAATGAGCTGTCCAAGGCTTCCTGGCGGCTGGGGGCAAATCCAGGCGAGAGGCGACTTTGGGCTCCAGGAGGGCTGCCTCGGTGAAGCAGGCTCTGCGAGCAAGGAGAGGTTTGGAGGGGAGAGGTGGTGGGTGTGGGATGGGGGCTGGCTCTGACCCAGCTCTCCTGCCCCTCTTGCTGCTGCTGGGGGGCTTTGGGAGGGGTCCCGAAGTAGGGAAGGCAGTGATAATGCTCTGGGGGTGATGCCCACCCAACTCCTGCCTGCTTCCCACCCCAAGGACTGGGGGAATGGCTGCATCCTGCCCCCTGCTCCTTCAGGAAGAGCTCAGGAGCCCTTTTCTCCTGCACCTTCTTCCCATACCCCTTTCAGGCACTCATCCTGCAAACGTCTGAAACTTGTCTGCTCTTACTCCTTTTCCTGTCTTTGATGCACCTCATGTAGTTCATCATCCCAAATCAGTTTAACTTCCTCCCCCTCTTCCCCATCCCTTCTCATTCCTGCCTCTCCTCCTCCTCCCCCTAATTGGATTTAGAGCGAAGGGCTAATGGAGAATTGCTGCAAAGGGCTAGGCAAGCTTCCCAAAGTGCTTACCGAAGGGGAGAGCACTCTGACTAATAGATGTGCATTAAGGTTTTGCATCCTCATGGTCCTGAGAGCTGGAGGAGAGGGCCAGGAGCCTGGAGCAGAGCTCCAGATTTTGGTATTGTTGGCTCTCTGGGTTTCCTGCTGGCCTGTCCAGACTAAATGTTTTATAGCTGGACTCCTACTGCTCTCAGATGCACCTCTAGGGATGGGTTCCAAATCTAACTTGCCATTTGGTAACACCTCAGCCTGCTGGGTGTTATTCCCAGTAAAATAAACTGGCCTGGGGAAAGAAGTGGTTATGTGCCCCTGGTGTGGCTCCCTGAGTAGTAGTAACCCTATAACAGGAGAGATAGGACACTGGAGGGTGGGTTCAGCTCATCCAGCTCCGCTTGCCCTGATGTCAAAGCCTTGTCCGAGTCACCTGAGCTCCTGGTGTCTTCCTTGAGGATGCCCCCAAAGAAGCAGCTTGGCCAAATTGAGCCTGAGCATCGGTGTGTGAGGAGCCTGCAGGCAGTGGTGGCCAAGGAAAAGATAACACCAAACCAAAATAATGATGATAGTAAACAAGTGCAGATATGATGACTGAATTTGGCCTGTCTACAGGGTGGATTGGAGCCCTCAGAACCACATCCCTGGCTGTCCAGCTCTGAGCTTCAAGTTTCTGAGTGCTGGCATGGAGAAAGGAGAAATCCAATGTATTGAGAAGAGCATCCCCAGGACAGCTGCCTTTGTGCATGCGGGGGCAGGACGGGGGACACAACACCCTGTTCTTATAGGGAAGGGGGTCACTGCCATCCTGCTACCCACCATGAAGGGTCTCCTTCCACCGAGCTCATCCTGGTGCTGGGGAGGAGGAATATTGGAGCTCGCTGAGCCGGACACGGCTCCCTCCCTGCCTCGGCGGAGGCGCGGGGTCACTCCGTGGTGCTCCCATCAGGGAGGAAGCCTTCCCGCGCCCCGGCAAACCCCTAGTGAAAGACAATCAGGCTCGCTGTCACCGAGCTAATTCCGACGGCATAAAAGCAGTAATGAAATTCACGGCAGGATTAGCCTCTCCATCCAATGGGCCGGCGCCACGGTGACATATCGTGCTTCTTGCCCGAATGTAACACACCATCTAATTTACGTCGTGTAGCGAGCGGGAATGAAATGTTCATAAAGAATTGCTGAATCTTGTCACCTTAACTGCGGCCCCGGGCTCTGAGGCATCTGTCAGGGAGAGGAGAGCGGAGAAGGAGGCTCCTGCCTCGCCGAGCTGCGGCCGGGGCTTTGGGAAAGGGGCGACGGCTGCATCAATCTTCTGGGTCTGTGCGGTGGAGACGCAGCGCGTGGGGATGGGATTTGGGATGGAGGCAGCCAGGCTGTTGGGACTGTCTCCCCTACAACCACCTGGGAAGGGATCTGTGGGGTGGGAGTCAGCATTTCTGGAGGTCCCAGTGCTTGCAGGAAGGTGCACGTTCCCAATTTCCATGCTGCACCCCACACACCCATCACAACCCCGTGTGTGCACCCATCTCGGGAGGTGTGAGTGTGTGTGAGCATCCCTTCTGCTGTGGCTCAGCAGCCCTGTTCCCCCCCCAGCTCCCCTCCCCAAATGTTTATTTGCAGTTAATTTTCATGGATCCTAATGGCTCGCATCCTGCTAGGGGGGAATCACGCTTGCCTCTTCAGTCAGAAAGTTTGCAGAAAAAAATAGCCCTTTCCTGTTGTGTTCGGAGTAATAGCGTCTTGGTGTCCGGAGGGGAGTTGGCAAGGAAACAGGGAAGTTTATTAAGAGTAAGAGATTGAATTCCACCGGGTTTAATTGGAAGTGCTTGAGCAAGCAGGGGAGGCAGCCGGCCGGTCCAGCCCCAAAAAAGCAGTGCTCTCCTGGGGGGGCTGGTTGCTCCTGGGGCTTTGCCATCCCCTTCTCTGCTGGGGATGCTGCGAGCTCTGGCTGGGTTGCTTCCTCGGGGTGCCCTGAGCACCCCAGCCTCATCTTCCTCCTCCATCTCCAGGTAGGTTCCCGAAGGGCTCTGGAAATGCTGGCTCATGGGGGATGTGGGTGTGAAGCGGCTGGGATAAGGTGGGATTTGGGGCCGGGTTTTGTTTTGGAAGCTGGTTCAGCGCACGATGTGTGTGAGTGGGACTCGGGTCCTGTCTCTGTCATGCTGACCCGTGTCATGAAAATGTGTGTTGTGTCCTTGGGCAGGGGCAGCACAGCCCTGGATGGGGTACAGGTAGGTAACGTGCAGCTGGGACACATTTTGGGGGAATTACCTAAATCTAAGAGGCCTGTTCCCATCTCTCTCTTCAAAGAGAACGGAAAGTGAATCCAGTTCTGGATGCCAACCTCCACGTTGTCCTTCAGGTCACAGAAAAGTCTCCAAGGCAGATTCCCATGGATGAAAGCATCCCTCCACCATGGGATGGTCCAGGTACTGCCCATGGGATGAGCTGCAGCACCTTTACACCTTCCCAGCACTGATAGGGGTGTGCAGGGCCATATGGAAATGTGACTTTGTGGCTGCAAAATAAGCCCAGTGCCAATGCCCTCCCTGCACACCCTTCTCCTGTCCTACACAGAGCTGAGAGGTGGCAGACACTTTGCTCGTGAAGGTGAACGGGGGCTCACAGAGACGTTTGGTTCACCTTCAATTCAGCTGAAAACAAAAGTTCCAAATTAAAGAGCAATAAATAATTTATTACTTTATTTACTTTAATTCGAAAAATTGCCTCCCCCCCCAAATCAAGATATATTGCTTCAAATTAAGTGTTTCATTAAATCTGAAATTAAACTTTTGGGGGCTGGGGAAAGGAAGACTTTTTAATTTGGCCGAAACCCTGAAAACTGCCTTTTCCCATTGCTTTAATTACAAACTCTGGAACAAAAGTGACAAACTTTACAAAGCGCAGTTGTGCTGCTTTGGTCTCTGCTCCCACTGCTTGGGGACCAGTGGGTTTTTTCTTTTTTTTTTTGTGCTCCCCAAGACAAGGGTGGCACAAGGGTGTAGGCTTGGAGCTGCAGCTCCAGAGGGAGCACATCTCTAACCCAACCCAAACCTTGTAGGACCGTGCTTTAATCAGAGCACCCTGTGGCTCTTGGCCTCTGCAAAGTTGTGTTTCTCCACAAATTCACGGGCAAAATTGCCAGAGGGGCTGGCTGTGCTCCAGCTTTCACCTCTGAGATGAAAAATGGAACTTTCCAAGGTATGACTCTTCCAAGCCTTGTCCCACTTTGCATGTAACACACTGCAATGTTTTATATAATTTTTTTTTTAAACTTTCTCTTGGATGATGCCCCACAGTGAGATTTCATCTGTAAGCTCCATCCCTGTCTACTGGTGTAACCTCATCTGTCATCTTCTGGTCTTCTCCACAGAGCTTTTCTGCAGGTTCTCACTGGTCCGATGGAGAGAGAGGTCAACGGGATCTGCCTTGGGCAGGGGGAAGTCCATGCAGACAAACCAATGGGTTTGCTAGTTTTCTGAATCTACGCCAAGGTGGGATCTCTCTTCCCTCCAACTGTCCAAGAAAACCAAAGCACTGGGCTGAGGACAAGCCAAAAAGCTGCAGGTCCTCTGAAGTGATGCTGGAGAAATGTTCTTCCTCATCAGAAGCATCCCAGGACAGCTTTGAATGGCGAAGCAGAAGAGCAAGCAGGGCATGGCCACATCCTTCCCTGATGCCCTCTCCTCCTCCCGTGGGTGCAATGTTACTGCTGTCAGCACGTCCTTCACTTCTGATGCTATCTGCCACAGGTTTGCAAAGCTGGGGCTGTGGTCATCTTTCAGAGGCGTGTTAGCACAACACAAGAGTGTTTGGGGCATCTGATGGTGCCCAAAGGGGGGAGATCATCTTCTGGTGTCCATCCTGGGCTGCTCTCAGCAGGGCTGGTGGGAGACAGGGAAGAGGCAAGGCTGAGTTCTGCACTTTTTCTTGGCTTTAGAAGGATCCCTTGAGGAAAACCTCTCCTGTGAGGGTGCCTTTGCATTCAAGAATTCCCTAGAAAGTTTGCTTTTGCAGATTGTCCTTCAGGTGCTGTATGGCAGGGACATGTCCCCTGGGGAAGACCGCACACGAGGTGTGGGAGTTGGCTCTGTGGTCCGGATCTCAACCTGAATGATGCTGGAGAAGAGACCTCAGAACCACTGTCAGCACCTGCACCACGGGTCAGTTGGGACCTGTTGGGTCCCTGCCAGGTCCCTTTTGGACCTGTGAATTGTGGCACCCCTCCTGAGCCCTCTGAGGCATGGGGAAAGCGAGGATCGCCGCAGCAAGCGGGCATTCGCCAGGAAAACTCTTACTTACTATGTAAGTCAAGAGTATTTACAGGAGATCTTGCTGCCTGTAACTTAAAGCTTTAGCGAAACAAATTGGAATTGCCTTCTGGAGGCCATTGTTATAAATTACAGCCCCAACATCTGTCCACATCTGCAGCGTCTAGACAACCCGTCTCGGGGAGGGGAGCGGGCGGGGGGCCGCGAGCGCAGCAGGGAGGGGGGCACAGGATGGTGCTGGGGCCGTGCTGGGCACCCACCTCGAGCTGTCCCCTGGCCTTAAAGCACAGCTGGGTCTGCCCCAGCCACGAGGGACACCCAGAGCATCCGTGCTCGGGGCGGGAGCCACGCCTGCCTTCCCCCACTGCAGCCCGCGGCTTGACACCAGCAACAAATTTGGCCTTTGGAAGCCTCGACCGCCGTGGCCTTATTTATTGCACGTTGGAGGATGCGAGGGGAGGCAGCGCCTCCAGGCAGCCTTCTTCTGTCTTCCCCGGGCCCCTGTGCAGCGCTTGCGATAAAGAGGCCGGGCCCGTCAGCTGAGCGATTGTATTTTTTTTACAGTTCCTAGCGCAAACCTTCTCATTTATATGTAAAGTAGCCATTAGTCATAGCTCTGTTCCCTCACACTGCCTGATGTACAATCACATTTTGCAGTGGATGAATCTTTCCACACAGCTGCTCTGCTATGAATAATCCGTTGCCGGGCCCATAAATCAGAAAAAAATCATGCACCTCCTTTGCCTGATCCTTACACAAAGTCATATATTTTACATGAGGACAAGCTAAATATTCATGAGGCTTTCAAAAGCTTTTCTGACTGCGAGGGACTTGTTGGGGTGGGTTTTGTTCGCTTGGGTCGGGTTTGGTGGTTTGGGTTTGTTTCTCAGCCTCGTAAAAAAGAAATCTTCCTTCCTCCCCTCTTCCCCATTAGCTGGGCAGTGCTGCTGAGCCCCCAGTGCTGCTCCTCCGGTGTTCTGGCCTTTGCCAAGGACCTGATGACTTTGTTGTTGCTGCCATCCCAAGGACAGGCTGCCAGAAGATGCTGCAGGCTGCGTCCCAGCAGTGTGGGGGTGGCCTGTTGCTGAGGCCCTGTTGGAGAACGTCGCTGTTGCCCTGATTTCTTTCCATCTGTATTTTAAAACCAAGCAGCCGCAGAGTCTATGGAGAGGGCTGGGACCGGGGCTTCAGCATCTCCTGCTTCCCAGTGGCAAAGCAAATCCAGGGGGAGAACCCGCGACTGTGCAGCCCGAGTGGTAAGATGGGAAAATCCCTGCTCAGCATCCCCAAATCCCAGGTTTGGCTTTCCTGAGACATCCCAGCGCTCTGCTGCAGCCATCCTGAGTCCCCAGTGGCAGCAGCGGTGCTATGTGAGCAGGGAAGGCTCGACCCTGAGGGAGGAGGTGTGCCAAGGGACCCTGGCAGTGTGAAGACATGAGGTTTTTCACCTGGTATCTGTGAAATTAGCACCGAGAAGGACCAGGCTCATCCTGTCCTCCCATGCCCTGAGGAGCACTTCCCACCCGCCCTCGCAGCAGCTCTGCGATTTTTCTGATCACAAGGAAAGCCGGTTTGGCTTGCCAACAAAGAAATGCTTAGTTTGTACCTCCTGATTATCATTCTTCTGTCACTGTAGTGAATTAAAACAGTTCACTCTGCTAGCAAATGAGCATCGGAGCTGGCAGAGGCTGAAAGGTGGAAGCACGTGGCTGGGCAGAGGGAGGAGAGGGGATGCAGCCCCCTTCCAGCAGTGTGAGGTGTAAATTCAGCTGAACCTGTACCGTCAATCCACAGCCTCACTGCTCTGAGGTCAAGCTCCCTCTCCAACACTTGGAGAGTGCACTTGGCCACCTACTATCTCCTCCACGTGTCCTTAGTACCAGCTGAGGGGCACTGCCCCATTCCAGCCTTACAGGGACTGTAATTCACACCACAAGGTCTTGGGGTCTCTTCTTTTCCCCTTGCATGAATTACTGGCCATGCCCCTTAGCCCTAAAAAAGCCCCTTTGCTCACAGGCTGCAGCAAAGCTTCCTGCCCTCCTGATTTTCCCCAGGCCACTGCCAACAGAGGGATCTCTGTGAGAAGCCCAGGTGAGCTGGGATGGAGAGGCTGAGCTGCACCATGGGGACACAGGACCCCTCTGCTGTCCGGGTGGGGGTATCCTGCCTCCTCTCACGAGCTCTTATGCCTCTGAGCGCTGTCTGCGTGCTCAGTGCTGTGCAGCACACCGCAGTGACGGCTGCTGCAAAGATCCTGCAGGACAAAGGGAACAACAAAAGGTTCCTGCACCAGCGCTTTCCCCTCTTTTCTCTTTCCTTCCCTTTTGCCGCAACTTGGAAAGAGCGAAGTCGAGGGACTGCCAAAGCAGAGGAAAACAAGGCCAAGCGCACACAGATGGTGAGCCCACAAATTTAATTTAAAATCATCCTTTATTATTCAAAATATTAAAATTCAGGCAATAATGCCCAGAGGAACAGCACTGATTAAAGTTCCCTAATGTTTCATGGCCAAATCTTGCTGCTTCTTCCAAGGGTCACTGGGACAAGAAGTGAAACCCCTCTGGAGTGCAGAGAGAGGCAGGGCTGTACCTGCTGTAGATCGTTTACCCAAACAGTTACTTACTGACCCAATCAGCTTCACTTAAAGCAAAGCACCAGCTGTTCCTTACCCAATTAATGATTGCCACAGCAAATTAACATGGCGTTACACCAGGCGTGGATGTGGTCCGCAGAGTCCGGAATGCACAGAGCAATATGCTATTGCAAAAATAATCACAGTAATATCTTTACCGTTAGGTAGCATCCTTCATCTGGAAGGATCGCGAGCTCCCTGGGCGCTATATGGCTCGCTTCGTGCAACGTGCTCTGCAGCGAGGGTGCGGAGGGCAGGAAGGAGGGTACGTGGTTGCTGTCTCAAGGAGGAATAAAAGGAACAGCCAGGGCAGCTGTGCTGTGGTAGAGGCAGCATTGACCACACACGTCCAGCTCTTGGGTCCTGCAATCCCCATAAATTGTTAGTTCAGTGGTTGTAAATCTGCTGGACTCAAAATGTACCTTGATCAAGCACCACAGACTTCTTTGATGCCTCTCCCCTGTTGTGTGATGTGACATTTTGATAGCATGGGGCTGTTGCAGGGATTTTGGGGCCTTGGTCAGGGTCACAGATCAGTGTCAGAGCTGATCTGCTTTGAGATGTGGCAAGCACAGAGCCAGATGCCCAGCTGCAGTGAGCAGCCCTGGGTGGGAAGAGGCCACAACGCTGGGCTGCAGATGTGGCAAAACCAAGCAAGGTTCTTGTGGACAGACGTTGCCTCTCTGCTGAGCATCACCAGGTCAAGTGCTGCCTCTACAATTCCTGCCTTGGTCCCTCTGTGCTGTGGAGCACACAAACAGACTGCCCCTCGCCCTGTCCCTCTGTGGTGGTCCTGCATTGCGGGGACCCAACAGCAGCACAGCAGAATAACTGAGCCAGTCTCTTCTCCCACCAAAATCCAGTTTACACAAAGGTTAAGTCCAGTTCCTAAATACTCATCACAATTTTGGCTCTGCTACGAGCTTGTGCCTTTTATGACCCAGATACGTTAACCCCCTTTAAGTTACCATCCAGATAGATCAATCAGCCTAGAGGGCTTTGGGACAGCGGTGGCTAGTGTTGAACCATTAAACTTTCCAATTTTCCTACAATTAAGCCGCCATCAAATATTATTGACAAATAAAGCGTGCCATCAAAGCCTCGAGCTGCCACGCTGCTGCAGAGGGGATCTCACATCCCAGCCCACTGCAGGGGACGAGGCAGGAGAATTGTGCCCTCAGCACCGGCGGCCCCCAGTTGCCTGCAATACTGTTACAGAAGCTGTCCCTGTGTAATTATAAGACTCCCTCATTATAATTACTGTTATTTATATAATTGTGGCAAGTGTTTTCAGCTCTGTCAGCAGTCTGGAAAATGCCCAGGCCGATTACAGCCAAACATTTCAGGCGTTTCACTGCCGAGCGCCCTGGGCTTGAAGTACGATGACCAACAGCGTGGCTGGGACAGGCCAAGAATAGCAGCCCATGTCCTGGTGACCTGAAAGCTTTCTTTGGAAGATTTCTATGCCTTGGGACTTCAGAGGGAGGACATGAGGTTATTCAGCCTCTGTCTCTCAAGCCACACTTCTGGGAACACGGCTCATCCGGCAGCGCGGCCCAGCCCCGGGTGAGCTCATGTTCCCCTGTCACCTCCGTGGGGGAATTTGCTGCAGGACACGCTCCTGGCAGTGGGTCAGGAGGCACCACCCAGGTCAGGCGTCCCCGCAAGGAATGCAGTAATGGGCATATTCTCCGCACCGTGTTCTCTCTGATTATCTCGCCTTAAAATCTGGAGGAGATGGGGGGGTGTTTAGAGAAAATGAGGGGCAGGGCTGGCGCAGAGGTGCTGGCACCGTACCTGCAGCTTGAAGCTTCGCTTTGTTGGTTAAACACAGGGACAGAGAGAATGGGCTTAAGTTGCGTGTTGGCAAGGAAGGGCTGCTGCTTGTTCCTGGCTCCTTTGCATCTAAATTGGAAGAAATTCAGGATAACCCACTTAAGGTACAGAGTTGTATGTATAAGTGCAGCAAGGAAAAGATTCTGAGTGTTTTTCTGGATCACAGTCTGCACAGGAATCAGTGTTACGCTTGCCATAGAGAAAGGTTAAATTTTATCAGGTTCTTATATAAATAGCGCTGAAGATAGAGGAGGTAATTCCTCTCTGCTCCTCCATCTGAAGTGGCTCCAGCTTTTGGGCAGGCTGTAGGAAATGCAGGCAAATTGGAAAGAGATTAGACAAAATTAACAAAACTGAGAGGATTAGGAGCAGTGGCTGCCAAAGAGCGAGCCGCTCGTGTTTGCTCTGCTCCAGAGGAGATTACAGAGAGGGCTGGGGGGCTCTGACAAACACCCTCCTGCCTTCGTGCAGCCATTCCCAAAGGGCTGCAGGTCGGTTCCTTTTTATTTTATTTTATTATTTATTATTATTATTATTTTAAGTGCTTGACACAGAAGGGGAACCTGATGGGGCTGCACATCTCCCCAGGTCACGCTGCACTGCGGAGGAGCAGCGATGGCCCCCTGGGCCCAACTTTCTGCCCGTGTTTATGTCTCTGAGTGTTTTTGGTGCTGGTTTGATGCTCGCAGCGATGCCACCACGCGTGGGACTCCTGGCAGGTGGCGTGTGGGGCTACGTTAATAGGATTTGACCCCCCTAGGTGTGGGCACCCATCATTATCCGTGTGTAGGGCACTGCTTGGATACTGTGTATGGCCATGGCATGGCGGCTGCGGGGCGATTTGGGGCTGAAAACGCCCCAAATGTCCCCAAAGAGGGCCCCTTTGGGGGCCTCCCCTCAGCCCTTGCCCTCAAGTTCCACCGTCACCCCCTCCCCGCACTACAACTCCCAGCATGCCCTCCTCCCACCGGCAGCGCACGCTCCAGCCGGCTCCCGGCGTGCCCCCCTCCGAACTGCCCTCTGGGCCTTGTAGTTCTCATCCCCCTTCATCCCCTTGCAGGCAGCGCGGCCGGGGACTCCATTTCCCGTGGGCCCACGGGCGGCGCATGCGCCGTGCGGGCGGGCAGGGAGGGAGGGGAGGCTGAGGCGGAGGGTGAAGCGGGCGGGGGGGGGGCAGCGCAGGTTCCTGTGTGCGCTGGCTGCGGCCTGGCACCGGGGCGAGGAGGAAGAGGAGGGGGCGGCGGGGCCGGGCCCGGAGCAAGACTATGGACCCGGCCGAGGCCGTGCTGCAGGAGAAGGCCCTCAAGTTCATGGTGAGGGGCTGGGGGGGCGCGGGGGGGGGAAGGGAAGGGGGAGGGGGGCGGCCTGAGGGGCCCTGAGGGGGTGGGGGGGCCTAGGGGGGGCTGTGAGGGGGCTGTGAGGGGCGGGGGGGGGAATTCGAGTGAGGAGGGGGTTGGGGGGGGGGGGAGGGACTCTGGGTGGGGGTTGTGGGGTTAGGAGGGGGTTTTTGGGGTTCTAGGGGGGGTTGTGGGGCTCTAGGGGGGGGGTTGGGGGCTCTGGGGGGGGGTTGAGGGGCTGGGAGGGGGGTTTTTGGGGCTCTGGGGGGGGTTGTGGGGTCCTGGGGAGGGGTTTCTGGTTTTTTTCCTCTTGGGTTGGGTGCTCCAGGCAGCGCTGCTGTGCCGCACGCCGTCCCCCCGCAGTTTTATTTTGCCTTTCCTTGCTCTGAGAGGCCCGAAGCAGCGAGCCGCACGTTGGTCTTGTTGGTAGCCACCCGGTAGCCACACTGAGCAGCCAAAGTCTGTGAGCTGGCCGTCGGCCTTAGGGGTACCAGCATCCACGCTGCTCCTCAAACGTACCTCCTTAACTTAGATGTGAGGCCTGATACGCTTAAATTCTCCTTTAATTCATTTTTTTTTTTCTTCATTGTTGGTATTTCTAAGCCTTTTGGCTAGAAACACGAGATTTAGAAATGAAACCAGGCGGGTGCCAACTGAACCGAATGTAAACTTTGGGTGTCCCACACTGTGCTTTCCCTAAGGATGTCATTGAAACGACTGGCAACGCTTGCTAAAAGTTTGTTTCGGATTAGTGCTTCTAGTTGTACAGAATTAAAGCCAAGCTCATCAAGAAGAAGCGATTCTGTTAAACCTCACATATGCCCAGAGTGAAACTGAGGAAACGCTCGCTGCAGATTTTGGTTTTTAGTTGAGCTTCGCAACGCTTGTTTGGCTTCTGCTTTTTTAATCCTGTAGAACTTGTTTCTCCTGAGACTTCTTGACCCTTTTGCTAGCAGTCCTGAAGTCTGTCAGATTTATAGAGCCTCAGCTCAGTGAAGTGAGAAAATGCTATGGATACCTAAATGGGCAGGGTAGCAATTAGTAATAACAACCCACCCTCGTTGGTGTGCGATTGGCCAAAGGAGTGCCCCAGATCCTGTTGCGCTTGTGTTTGGCCAAGCTTGGTAATTACAACCTGCATTGAGATAGCGAGTTTCATATCCTGAAAAGTTTCTGCAGGAGTTTCTGCCTGCAACAACATTGCGAGCGTGTTACACTGTGACGTCTCCTGGGCTGCTTTTTTCACCCTCTGAGCTTCAATTCCCAACCTAAGGCCTCAGTCCAGGCATTTGAGATCTGCATCAGGTACCAGGCCCTATCTCATGGGATTCCCTGTCTGTCTTGCAGCTGGCTGTGCTCCTGCCCGCACAATAAAGCTCCCTGACACTAGGGAGAGACCTGAGCGTGAGAGAAAGCTGCTCTTACAGAAGCTGCATCTCTTAAGAGCTCCAGATAAAGGGAAGAATTACCAAGGATCAGGCTGCACTGGGAACTAAAAGCTAAACCAAGTTCCTTAATGTTTTATTAAAATATGCCTCGAATGCAAAACGCATGTAAAAAGTGCTATGAAAGATGGAGTTTCCTTCTGTCCCCCATTGAACTTTTAAGGTGTAAAAAATACAGGTGAGGGAAGAGTGAGAAAAGCTTTTGTTAACACATCTCAGGCCTTTGCTTTAGTAAATATCCATCTAATCCACGTCTCGTTTTAATTACGTTGATGAAGAAGGGTATTTGTCAGACTTGGTGAGGCCTTTCGTTGTTCTCCTTGCCGTACGTGGGGGTGTGGCAGGCAGGTTGCTCTGCTAAGTGAGATCCTATCAGCGGTAAATACCAGCCTGGCTCTGCTAGAAAGCCTCTTGTTGTGTCTGCCTCGCAGCAGGAATGGCAGGGGCACAATTAGCTGCGTGGAGGTAGCAGGTCTTCGCAGCTAGTGCTGAATCATTCGCAGAGAATTACCCGGCTGCGTGATGCGCTTCATGCTCTGCTTCCTCACCAGGTGGATGCAGCTTGGGTTGAGGTGGGTCTTGCTGTCAATTGCTGAGTTTTCCCTGAGAGTTTCCTAACCGCCGAGGTGCCACCCATGGCATCCTTAGGGAAACGTTCAAACCTCTTTTGTAGGCGTGAGGCCTATTGTCTTTCCAGTTTCTGGCTTTGTTTTTTGTTCCGGATTTGCTTCATTTAGGCTTCGTTTCATATTGAAAACCAGCCCTGTAGGTGGTGTTATTTTGGGGCTTCTCTAGCAAATATTACTTTTTCTGCTTAAAAATGTCAGTACCTAATTTTTGGCAGTGCCTTTGAGCATTTCTCCTGAGTCACAAGATATCAGGCAAGACAGACCTGGTGATTCAATTTTTTCTTTTAATGTCTATCGCTAATGGAAAAATGCCACTTGGAAACTTCATCCAAGTATCTATATTTGATGCCTTGAAAGTCAAACTTGACTGTGTCTTTCCTGCGTGCTTGTGTGTGTAACCTTTTTGACGAGACTAAAAGAAGGCCTTGTTCTTCCTGGCTGGTATTTGCTTGCTTACTGGCCGGTGAAGTAATATTGCTTTTAGCTAATAGCTGCTACCAGCTCTCCAGTTGTGTGTTCAGCTACAATATATGGAATATATGCTTTCAGCATTAAGTAATTATTCATTTAACTTAATTTGCCCGCTCAGTTTGCCCCTGTGTTTCAAGGAGTTATTTCTGAATCTAAACTGCTGTGTATTAGCATTATGCAATACTACGCTGCTGCTCACCAGGGATGACTGTAGCTGCTGGTGAATGAGTCTTTTCTGTCATGCGGTCCACATGCCATCTTTCAGAGCTGCTTTTGAGTGAAAGCCAGCTTACAGATTTAAAATATGTTGTTATGAGTTAGATAGTCCACTGTTCTGCTACTGCACCAAGGATTTTACTGGAGTGGGATCTGTCTCACTTCATCTCGGCGCCTTTTCACGTTCCTAAAACATTATAGAGAGAAAACTACGCTGTTCGTAAAGTACAGTGTTTAAGAGAGTGATGCACAAGATAAAAGGAGAGACAGATATGCCCATTACTTTAAAAACAAACAAAAAAACCTGACAACATCAACAAAAACATGCCTTATAGAGCTCTTTCTTTTATTCTTTCAAGAATATGGGATTTCTCTTGTCATAACCATTTACAGAAGTGCTAGGAATGAGGTGCTCAATAAGTAACTTCCATATTTGAATGAAGTGTTTAAAACTGTAGATACAGTATTTAAAGCCTGAGTGCAATAGGCTCAACTGAGACTTTGATTAAATGTCATATAAAGTAAACTACATATGCCTGCATAGAATAGTAGATATTTTTTCAAAGTAGCTTCAAATGGTTCTGTTAAGTGTACGAATGTTCTGATGATTATCTTTTTAATTAAAATGAGAAATCTTTGTTTAAAGTGGCATTCTTTTTTACGGCCTGTTACAGTCTCTGTAACAATCATTTCTTAAGTCTGAACGTTTTTAATTCCGGGAATCCATTTATATAAAACTATGTTTAGACTTAATTAAGGAACGATTCTTACAAAGCTTGTAAATAGCCAGGAAAAAAGGGACAGAAAATAAAACTGACATTCACACTTAACGGAATGATTGTTATAAGGTATGTAATATGCTATAAAAATACAATAAAGCCCTTTTTATAAGAGTTCATATTTTTTGTTCCTCATTTCGAAAGGTATTTAAGAAAAATATCAAGGCTCTATGAAACAACATCTGTTTTCTTGAATGGACTAGTGACAACTTCAGCTGTGTTTAATTAGCAGTGCTGGGAGCTGTACCTGACCAGTGTGGGATCCCAGCTAGTGTGGTTTGTCAAGCAATAACCTGATATTTAATGCAGTTTCACTTTCTCAGTTTTTCTGAATGAACCGGTTTGCAATACTTCATTTAATTTCCTGGCTTGTAAATAGGAAGATGTGGATAATAGTGTTCTTCGTGAGGCTCTTTTTCCATTTCACCTGTTAGTGTTTTCCTTTTATTTCTGGGCAGTGTGATTCTAGGAAATCCTGATATTGCCTTCCAGTGTCACAGAAGAAGCAAAAGCAGTGTTTTTTAAGATGCATCTGTTCTTTTTTGTTTGTTTGTGAAGACCCTTAAGTTCCTTAGTTTTGGTATTACCATGCTTGCAGGAGCTTTTGATTTACTGGAGGGCAACACAGTAAGGAATAATCAGTGTAGTTGGAGGCTGAAAGGTAACAGGCCTGGAATCCCTGGTTTATTTTTTTCTTCTCTTTTTATTCATGTGTGTATATATATACACACACACAGCACACAGAACAGGTAGACAAAAGCTTATACTTTCAAGAGGTTCCATTTGCACTGAACTCAGATGATTTATAGCATCAGCAGGACTCAGATTTTAAAGACCTGGGACTTGTTAGCTATTGTTTTAAAACTGCTTTAAGAGTCTTACCACCTTCCTAATAGAATATTTGTGTTGTGCTAACTTTGACAGAGAATCCTGAGCACCCAAAGCAAGGCTGGCATGAAGGCAATGAGAGTAATTTGGTAAAACAGCTGGGATAGCAGAGAGTTACTTCCCAAATATGGGGTTTCAAATGCTGCTTGAGTATTGAATATATACTTAGTCATTTTCTCCAATAGACCTGAAATAACATTTCCTTAGTTTGAGGATTTGTTGGAACTAGTATATTGTAAAGATGATGTGGATTTCTTTTTCTTCTGCCCCAAACTCTTTGTGCTGTAGGTTTTTCTGCACCTGGGTTAGGCCTTTGGTACTTTGGTAACTTTACCCTCGCTTCTCTGGTAATGTTTCAGTTCAGCCACTTTGCTCCATTAAATGTGTGCAATTAGAAAAGCAAATGGCAAATTTGCTATCGCATCACTGAAGTATTTAGTTTCATAGACTTAAAAAGCAGAATTTGTTGCACCGTGCTCTTTGCACTATTATATATACTATAAACATCAGAGAGAATAGGCTGACCTTAATATTTGCTTCTCAGACTA